TAATTCATTTCCATTCTCGGTTTCATCTTGGCCATCTTTCTCTTCTGATGTATCTTGATTGGTGCCAGATTCTGTTTTAAGTCGTTTATTAGCAATTATCTTTGAACGACGAGGACGGAGACCTTCACGTCGTGGGGCCAGTTCAGTTTCCATGGCCTTTCTACTTTTTGAAGTTGAAAAATTCTGATGAACTCCATTATTGACTCTACTCCTCAAAGTTCGATATGCTGGACTCTGAAAAAGATCAGAAACTTATTCTGAAAAGGCATACCACAGTACTTACAAAATAGCTTTAAGTTTCATAATCGAAGAGCCATGTTCAAAAAGAAAATATCCTGACCATCATATCTTCATCCTCCGCTCCAGAACTGTCAGTATAGTCCTCAAGATTTACAGAAATTCTTCTCTTCCTTGTGGAACGCCGAAGGTCGGATGCAATTGGCTGTATGTCATTGGCAATGTTATCAACATTCTGGTTTAATCAGACTAAAGATAAACGGTATGCATAACAGAGCAACTCATATGACAAACCCAATTGTTGGACAATAATGATCATCTTCTCCAAAGTGAATAATTTATAGATAAGAAACTTCATAGAGGCATAAATAATAGGCACCTCACATAGAAGGTAGCCTCTACTTAAAACTCAGGGGGAAGAGAAATGCACTTAATGTGCTTAGCTGGCTCAAGCATTCTCAATAAAATGTTCAATTACCAAGCACTGGTAAAACAGAAACTTTAAAATGCATATATTAACCAGCCGTCAGGGTGCATCACATAACAAACAAGGATATGACTTTAAAATATCCAGCCTATATAAGAAACTAATCAGAGACCAAACTTAATAGCACTAAGTCCTCTTTCCAATTATTCACATAAATAGACTCAACAGCATCCAATGGTACTTTCTGATGAGAAAAAAATACTCTACTAATTTACATGTAGGTGTTTGATGCTTACCGTGGCATTTGATGCCCGTGCAGGACGGTTCCCTCTATGCAGCATCTTTGCAATCTGTGAGGCTGCCGTTCTTGTCTTTGTGTTTCTTTTCCTATTATGTAATATGTTTGGTGAGTAGTAATAGCATGAGCGACCATACAATTTGGGCCTCCTCCTAAGCCTATCGCTACTTCTAACTGGCTTAGCAACTGACCCATCTCCTTGACTTGATCGCTTAGGATGCATAGAGAAATGCTACCACTGATGATTACCTCCTTCCATAAACTACAAACTCAAGATTCACAAATCACATTTCTGCGCCTTCGCCAGCAGAAAATGAAAAAGTAGTTCATGGTTGCACTTTCAATCAGATAGGAGTATAGCTCTGTAATTAACAGCTATGAGAGAATATCAAATACCACTAAATACGTAATACGCTTCTGACAGGTCTGTAATCTACAGGCATCACACATGTACAGTAGAAACACTGATATACAACAAAGAAACTCACATTTCAATATAATCAATATAATCCCAGAAGGAACATTCTCTCAAAGCCACGCCCTAATCTTGGTAAGCTAACTCCTAATAGACATGCATTCACAGAGACAAAGCCCAAAGGAGAAGCCACTAAACCTCCGAGCTAAACAATGAAAATTCCGAAACCAAACCCTAGAAACTAAAGCTGGAAGCGATCAGTTCAATCAAATCCACAGTTTCTATCGAGAACGAACAACAGATTATCGATAATCAGCAGCTACACCGACTGTTTATCCGATTGCATTTAGCCATAGAACTCGAACGAAACAATCAAGTGAAGCGATGAACGGAGATAATGCAAAATCGAGCAAGCCTTAAGATGTAGATGACAAGATAAAGACGCGAAACCTGAAGATTGAAGATGGTGAAAGAGGAGAAAGATCGATAAAGTGTCAGTGGAGACTGCAGAATTTGCAGGTCCGTCTTCGTTGCTCCTTCTCCCTCTTTTTTTTTTCTTTTGCTTCGAGCGTTTTTTTTTCTTTTTTTTTTTTGTTTTTTCCGGCTGCTGCTTTAATAAATTTTTCTAACCCACTCTCTGTTTGGATGCGAGGATAACTCTATCCCTACCTCTCATAGTCCGTGGATATGCTCGATAGTTTGAATTAGTTTCAAATTACTCCCCATAATTTATCATATTTCATATATTAGTCCCGTGACTTCATTCCGTTCAGTCTTTTCCAAATCTCAAATTACCAATTAGAGTGGATTTTCTATCAAATTACGGGAAGTTGTTATACCTTACATTATACTGTAACTAAATTTTAATGGGATCATAATAATGACCATTAAACATATTTCTTAAACTCATCAGCATGGGTAAGGTTCTTTCTTCTCTTGAAAATTCATTTGTTGATAACTTTTACCAATCTCAACCTCATAAAGCTATACAATTTCTTGGATACAATTTATCTTTTACAGAGGACTAATCACAAAATGGGTTAAAAAATGATCTAGAAGGAGAATCCAACGCCAAAGCAATTAAACAAGCAATTAAACCTTCTTGCTTTTGATAGGTTTCTTCGACTTTGATGATGCTCTTGGGATCTCCTTGAAGGCAGAAGGGCACAGCTCACTGATACTACAAGTTCCACATCGTGGTCTTAGCGGTGTGCATATCGTTTGTCCGAAACCTACCTGTGAAGATTTCAGACAACAAATGTGGAGAAGGTGAAGATTCAGTGAAGTAATCTAAGTTTCAGCTATCTATCTCCCTAACATATGAAATGTTCATAGGTAATGCTCAAGTAGATTGTTTTATGTATGTTCAACAGTTCAAGCATCTACTAAGTTAAGATCTCTGAGGATTACGCACCAAAAGAAAGTTAATAGCAACCCATTCTTCTTTTGGAAGCCATTGTTGCAGAGCTACTCTAGTTTCCTCAGGGGATGACGTTTTCTGCTCAAGACCAAATTAGAAATAGGTGACAAAGAACAGACATCATATGAAGCAAAAATATTAATGAGTGTGTTAAGAGCTAATCTCATAGAGAATGAGAAGCACCTGTTTTGTTCCTGGTTTAGACACCCAACCAAGTCGGTTGCAAATGCGATGCACATGAGTGTCTACACATATCCCTTGAACATCATTCCATGCTATATGCAAAACCTATAGCAGGACATGACAAGAAACCTTTGAGAACTTTTGAAACATGTAATTCTCTTGCAAAACTGACTAATATGGCCAGTTTTACCAGATGAGCAATCTTAGGACCAACTCCTGGAAGTGAGAGTAGTTCTTCCAAAGATCTTGGAATGTCACCGTCATATTTCGTGAGACAAATTTTTGCAACTTTCTTCACATTAGTAGCCTTTCTAGTATAGAACCCGACCTAAAAGTAAAGGGCAAGTAAGTTTCATATCGAAATTAAACTGACAACCACATTTCCTTTTTCCATTTCTTGAAAACTTTCGCAAACAATATGGCACCATGGGCTCATGTCAAAGCCAAAGAGGCCTTCAATAAAAAGAAGTAAGATAACTAAGGGATAATGTACCGGGTAGATCAATTCCTTTATGGTTGATTCATCGGCTTTGTCAATGGCTTCGGGAGTGAGAAGGCCATTTTGATGAAGACGTTCTACTGCCGCTGCATATTAGAAGTGTCAGGATATAAAATCAGGAAACTTGAAGATCCAGATGATATCAGAGAAACTAGAAGTGTGAAATTAAGCATTCTCTCAACATGGGCTAAGCAGTTCAAAACTCACCACCAGTTATGTGATCTTTAGTCTGACTTGAAAGGAGTGTTCCTATGAGGACATAAAATCGCCTTTCCTAGAAATAGTGAGAAACAAAAACAAGAAACGCAATCTATCTCTCTCCTTTTAAGCATAAATTTGAAGTAATGAAATGTAAAAACAACAAAGGCATCAAGAATAAGAAAATTTCATACACGTAAGTTAGCATTTGTTATCAGTATTAGTAAACATAAAGGGTTGGGGTGTTTCCACAGTAAATCCAATAGTCACAAACTCAGCAATAGCTCAATTCCCATATCAAGTAAGATATATTCTAACCTTGGGAGGTAAAAAACTTCCGGTTCTATCACATTCTATAGTGTCAACTGGTGGTTTTTCCGAAGATTTCATTCTTCGAATACCGTCGAGCACCTTTTCCCAGTTTTCAGGTGGTCTGCCTAAATAAGATTAACATTTTAGGGACTAAGATAATCAGGAATATGAAAAGGGAAAATGTAACTCTAGATAGTGAGACTTACTAGATAAAGGAGATCCATTTGTCTTCTTGTAAGAAGAACACTCTTCTATATCAGGTAATCCACACATCTCCTGCATCATTACATAAACAAAGGACATAACTTCAATGTATAGCAAACTGAAAGTAGGATAACGAAAAATGACACAACTTTATCTGAGAAAAGTTATTCATGTTTGTTCATTTCCAGAAACTTAACAAGCCAAGGAATCAACAAATTGGCTACAAATCTCTAAAGCTCTCAAGAATTATCATACTCAGGCACAGGATTTGAGTCCAAAACCCGATTCTACAATGCGAACTACAAGTGAAGAAATGTTACTTTATGGGCATTGATTCCTCTGCTGGGATCTAGCTCCACAGGTTTCAAATCTTCCTGCTTTAGCCTCTTCTGCCTTAAAGAGACTCGATTCTCAGACTCGGAAGCTCCATTGGCTGCTTCTGATACCAAAACAATGGACCCATTACGCAACGAAGTTTCATCAATACAAAATTTCCCATAATTTCG